TGTCTTTTTAAGAAATTCCCGGAAGGACGAGCCCCCATTTGTTAACAAAAATAACAATTGGTCCCTCTATCTCTTTGCAGCCTTGAAGAATTCTCAGTTCCTTAAAGTGTAAATACGGCCAGGAAGCAAGAAAACACACATTCAAATGTATTCTCAATACTTCAATTTATTCATAGATAAAAAGATATTATATAGGCATATGTCGAGGGGAGTTTCACCCTCTTAACCAATGAGGATAGGAATGACATACACATAGGATCTTTGGCCAAGAACATGTTTATATAAAATGGCCACATGTACAGAAAAACATGGACATATTAGGAATAGACTTTTGCGAAGGATGCTGAACTCTTCTTCAGAGTTCCTCACGAACTCCTTTTACCCTTGTAGTCCTAGCATTCATGTCCTTATTTGGGCATTTAAACCAAGAAAAGCTGATGTATACATTTGCGCATGCATACCTCGCATATGAGTAAGATGTATTTAAAACATAATACAAGAGAGAGAGAAAGTAAAGGATAGAGGAGGGGGGATTCAGAGAGAGGGAGAAAAGGAGGGTGAAAGCATCTGGAACCTTAACAAGACAGTGTTTTCTAACAGTCACCAAAAGGTGAATTTCACGTTTAGGTTACTTTTTTTTTTTTTTTTTTTATCAAACTTATTTCAAACTTACCATCACAGTATATTGATATTAAAAAAGCAAAGGGAAAGAAAATAGAAATTCCATTAAATGCATTGAAACGTTACATTAAGCCCAGTTTGGGAAAACTTGGTTTAATGTAAGAACCACAGTGTGTTCTGTGAGTTGTAAAAAAAAAATAATAATTCATACATATGAAAACAATGACTTTTGGAAATGTAAAAGAGGAAAAACATAATTAGGGAGAATCAAATTATGAATAATGTACTGCCATGTGTGAATAATATGGAATCATGTAATTTATAAAAAAAAAAGTAACTAATATGTCATTTAAAAATGTAATAGTGTAATTACAAGTACTTATCTGATTAGATGATCCAGATTACATGTAATCAGTTACTACCCAGCACTGACTGTATCTAACAGCAGTATCAAGTATGCAAATTGGGTAAAACCAAGGACGCGTTCATTTTATTAGGCTACTGTCACCTTTAAGAATCTAATAAAGTCCCCATGGAATCACAATTTGTTTCGTGACTTTCAATATGAACACATTAGCCTTAAAGGGTTAGTTCACCCAAAAATGAAAATTAGGCTGCGTTTTACTCACCCCCGAGGCATCCTAATATGACTTTCTTCTTTCAGACGAATCCAGTCGGAGTTATATTAAAAATTGTCCAAAAGACGTGAAATAAAAAGCACCCTTCCATTTAATAAAAAAAAACAAAAAAAAAAACACGTCTCACAGGGCTCTGGGGGGTGAACAAAGGCCTTCTGTAGCGAATCGATGTGTTTTTGTAAGAAAAATATCCATATTCAAAACGTAATAATCACTTTAATCTAGCTTGGGTGAACTAACCCTTTAAGATTTTTATATATATATATATATATATATATATATATATACACAGTGGATGTATATATGTATATATATATATATATATATATATATAACAACTGTTTTGCTCCAAAAAAATATATCTAAAATTTACCTTTTAGATATATGCATTAAAAATGTACAGTATTTCTCGACAACCAATATGAATTGAAACTTTTGACGACATCATTCTGCACTCTCATCAGATTTTATGTCCAATCAAATATATCATCTAAATTGTCCCACCCTGTACTTTTTTAAAAAAGATGCTAAAGCTCAGTTTACAAATTTTTGTGTGGTGAGTAGCATGTAGTGCACTATATTGAGGATAGTGAGCGATTTTTAAAGGAACACTCCACTATTTTTGAAAATGGGCTCATTTTCCAACTCCCCTAGAGTTAAACAGTTGAGTTTTACCGTTTTCAAATCCATTCAGCCGATCTCCGGGTCTGGCGGTAGCACTTTTAGCTGTAGCTTAGCATAGGTCATTGAATCTGATTAGACTGTTAGCATCTCGCTCAAAAATGACCGAAGAGTTTATATATTTTTCCTATTTAAAATTTGACTCTTCTGTAGTTACATAGTGTACCAAGACCGACGGAAAATGCAAAGTTGCGTTTTTCTAGGCCGATATGGCTAGGAACTATACTCTCATTCCAGCGTAATAATCAATGAACTTTGCTGCCGTACCATGGGTGCAGCAGGTGCAATGATATTACGCAGCACCTTAGTACACGATGTAACAACAGAAGAGTCAAGTTTTAAATAAGAAAAATATAGACACTCTGGTCATTTGAGCGAGATGGTCTAATCAGATTCAATGATAATTAACTCTAGGGGAGTTGGAAAATGAGCCTATTTTCAAAAATAGTGGAGTGTTCCTTTAAGCTATTGGCTGTTTTTATAAAAAGGGTTGAGCTCTTTGATATGTCCTGCCATGACTTATTCTTTCAATCAGAAATATGCCGGCACACAGAGAAAATGAAGGTGCTTTTAAGGTGTTATTCTGCATTTATAGTAGTGATCGACCGATATTGATATTTTATAACGATACCAATTATTTGCGTGTTTGTGCCCGATAAAAGATATGCAGAACCGATATTTATTTACTGTTATAAAGTAAATAAATGACTGCGTGAAGTAAGAACATACTTCAATTTGGTTTTTCCTTTTATCTTAAAAAATAAATAAATAGTTAAATTAGCAGTCTTTCATGTTAAATTTAATCTTCATATTACAATAACACTTTATTTAAAGCATCAGCAGCAACACTAATATTAACAATAAGCAAAATAAATGTAGACAGTCTAATGTTTTCAGATGGAGCAAATAAATAAATGAAAGGGGTCATATCAACTTCATTTTAAACTACAGTTTTAGTAGGTTTACAAGCGGTTTAATAGCTACAGAGTCCAAATAATTCACTGGATAATGTTAATTCACTGAATAATATTCTCTGGAATATTGACAAACAAAACATTGTATTTTATTGCATTTCTCAACTGGAATGTTATATCAGAATTATTAATGTTTTTGTTGTTCTAGATTATGAAATGCCTGCTGACAGCGCAGTTTATCTATGCAGTTACACAGAACTATACTCAAACTGCGATTGCTAATGTGGAGATAATAAATTAGTTTCCATAGAGATGTATTTATTTAGATGTTTATTAGCGAAATGATTATATAGTAAATGTTAGTACAATTTAGGGGTGTTTTAAACGAGTGAATCTTGTTAAAAGTTACATGAGGTGGCCGTGCTGGAGCATTTCCTGAGCATCAACCCGGTGAGTGAACCGCAATATGAAACGAGACTTCCACAAGATGGCGGTGTTTATCGGTGAATCTGATATTACAAAACCGATATCCAATTATTGTAAAATGATAAAATATCAGTCAATCTCTAATTTATAGACGTGTGTGTGTGTGTTTTTTATTTTTTTTATTTTTATTATTTTTTTTATATAGGTTGTTGCTCAGCTCAAAGCTACTTGCAGCGGCCTGTCAGAGGAGCAGCTGGCAAAACTGGGCGTGGCTTTGTTCAACTGCCAATCAGAGGTGGAGGGTCGCAGGACTTACTCTTGCACTGAAGAAATGGTATGGTCAATGGGCACAACTTTGCTGTTTTATTGGTCCTAAATCTGCTGATCTGTTTGTAAGTGAAATACTTGTCATTGTCAGTCAACACAAGCAGTTCTAGTTGTGTAATGCTTTACATGTGGAATTCATTGAGTCTGATTAAACCGATATTATCTCTCCCTGCAGTCTATTAAAGAGTGCACAGCAGACATGGACTCGGATACGTGGAATGCATATCACATTGTCAGTAACCGAGCGCGCTCTGTGTGTTATGCCACGCGCCAGCAGCACTTCCGCAAGCGAGCGGAGCTAACCGTCAACGCCCTGATCTCCACCGCAACTAGTCAACTAGATGCTATGAAAGACCTAAAGGTGTGTTATAAAGATCTTAATTTCAGGTTTCTTTTGCTCCTGGTCTTACTGTGCACAATCATGTCATGTTTATTCCAAAGAAAGGTCGCTTGGGTGCTTCTGTCTCATTCTGAAATCTCACATTATGGGTAATAGGGGTTGTAAACGCACTTTCATGTTGACTTCACTGTTTTATGGCTCTTTGTGTTTGTTGATGTGCAGGAGGGTCAGAAAGAGCTGAGGGAGATGACCGCCGCGTCACTGGACAAGCTGCTTGAGGGTCACAGCGCCCTACAGCTCCAGCAAGGGGCCCTAAGGGAAGGGCAAGAGCAGCTGGATACCTCCATCAGTGAAAATCTGCAGAGACTGGCACAGGAGAAAGTTCTCATCAGCACCGGGCAGCAACTGGTGGCTCAGTTAATTCAGGGCATTACACGGAGAATGGGTCAGTCATAGATAAATGCACTTGCTTCAAAGGTGACCTGTGAATTCTCACTTTATCAGTGGTTTAATATCTTCATAGTAACTTTGCTAAAGGATTGGCTCACTTCCAGAATAAAAAAATCCTGATAATATACTCACCTCCATGTCATCCAAGATGTTCTTGTCTATTTTTCCCCCCCCCTCAGTCGCAAAGAAATGAAGGTTTTTGAGGAAAGCGTTCCAGGATTTTTCTCCAAATAATGGACTTCAATGGGCACCAACGGGTTGAAAGTCCAAAGTGCAGCTTCAAAAGGTTCGACACGATCCCAGCCAAGGAATAAGGGTCTTATCTAATGAAACAATCTGTAATTTTCTTAAAATGTATACATTTTAACCACAAATGCACATCTTGCACTAGCTCGACTTCACGCATTATGTAGTCATGTTGGAAAGGTCTCACGTGACGAAGGCGGAAGCACTGACCCAGTGTTTAAACAATGAAGGTAAAACAACGATGTCGGATGCTTTTGAAGGTGTGTGTCCATCCGTGTGTGTGTGTCCGATGGTTTCACTAGATAAGACTCTTATTCCTTGGCTGGGATCGTGTCGAGCCTTTTGAAACTGCACTTTGGACCTTCAACCCGTTGGTCCCCATTGAAGTCCATTATATGGAGAAAAATCCTGGAATGTTTTCCTCAAAAACCGTAATTTCTTTGCGACTGAAGACAGAAAGACATAGGGGCGAGTAAATTATCAGGAGATTTTTTTTCTGGAACTGAGCTAATCCTTTAATGCTATATGTCACTTAACTGGTCATATTTGACCGCCAGTTGCTATAGAATGTTTTATATCTTGGTTTCATTTCCATTACACATTTGCAGAGAATGTAAGTGGGCAGCTGAAGGATCAGAGTGCAGAAGTGCAGGAAGGACATCAGGCGATTCTTGATGACCTGGCTGTGGTCCGAGGAAGTGCTCAGGACATCTATGAAAAAATGGGTGATTACTTCTGAAATTATACATTTGATGCATCAAATGCTTGGAAGAATCACAATGCTTTTTTTTTTTTTTCTTTGGTTTTTGAAAAGTCTCTTCTGCTCCCCAAGGTTGCACTTATTTAAATGTGTATATAGTAAACGGTTATCTAGTGAAATATTGCAATTTATAACAACTGCTCTATTTGAATGCGTTTTAAAATGCAATTTATTCCTGTGATCAAAGCGGAGTTTTCAGCAGCATTACTCCAGTCTTCAGAAATCATTCTAATATGCTGATTTGCTGCTCAATAATTATTATTCTTGGTGCTTTATTAATAATAATGGTTCTTTCGGTGTTGGGATCATAGGAAACAATTATTGGAAACTGAATTTGCTGCTTTTTTTTTTTATATATTTATTTTGTGGAAACAGGGATGCTTTTTTTTTTTTTTTTTTTTTTTTTGGGTTTTT